TAGCCCGAGTTAAACCACCACATTAAGGAGTATTAGTGACATCATGTGCAGCCTTAATCTTCCCTGGACACAGAGCCCAGGCAGACGCAGGCTGGCTGGATGCACAGAAGGGCTGGAGCGTGGAAGGTCCTGTCACAGAAGGGTGTGATTCAGAAAAGACACGATGGATTCAAGAGGAAGAAAAGGTACTCTGGGGAAGGGCGATACTTGCGTTAGCTGGGAGGAAATGAGCGTCGCAACCATGCAGAGGCTTCAAGTTAGAGCAGGCTCCTGGAGTTGTGTTCCAACAGGAGGAAGACCAAAACTAGAAAAATCTGGTTTTTAAGAAACTTGACGAGCTCTCCTCGGTAGAAAGGATGTTTCTGTCTGGCTTTGCATGTGTCAGGCTTGGTACACGTTGTTTCCTGCATCTCTGACTGCGAGAGCATCCCGCACACATCCTGCCTCTCTAAGTGACACTCCAGGGCCAGGTATTACAGGAACCTTTCACGTTTCTCAAAACAAACGTCAGAAGAAATGCAACCACCCCGAGGAAGCCAAGGTATTAAATAATACTGAATTCTCTTCCACACCCAGGGAAAATGTCGTGGAATAGAAGAAAGGACTTCCGCTTCCTTAGTAACACGTGGTAAGCCAGATGCCCTGTCTCGTGCTCCTCCCTCCACTAAACTGACAGATTAATGCTCATTTCTCAATGAAGTTCCAGCTCAGCAGTTACCGACCCCATTTTCCTGCAGCTGGACTCTGACAAGTGTCCTCACCGCACTCTGTTTTGAACGAGACTCTCCTGAACACAACACTGTCAGCTTCAGAAACAAAGACCTGTTTTTTAATGGATCCGTGATTTGAACCCCTGTATGGTCTGCTGATACCTAGAGAAGGAATAAGCGGAGCTGTGTTCTTCTGCAGCCAGAGAATCTTGATGCTAAATGCAGACCGATCCCACCAAAGTGATTAAACCGACACTCCGTAAGATGTCCAAGCCATCTCAGACAGAACAGCCATCAGCTCTCCTTAGCCATCTTCTGTTTTCTGCGGGACCAATGACGACGAAGCTTCCATACACTTAGCCCCTCTCAGCCTAGCAAACACTGCAATATTCAACGCGCGCCTCCAATCAACAGACCAAACCCGTCGGCCTCATGAAGGGTGCTGGATGCTGCAGCAGGGCCAGGGCTTTGGAATAGCTTTTCAGGAAAATATCAGGCAATTGGGTTTTTTTACAGGGTAAGAGACAAAAAGAAAACAAGACCAAAAGCCAGAAAGCTTGATGTGTTAAAAGAAAGAACAATTCAACTCTCGTGAGACCCCACCTGCAGTGCTGCGTCCAGCTCTGGGGCCCCCAGGCTAAGCAGCATATTGACTGGTTGGAGCGAGTCCAGAGGAGGCCACGAAGATGCTCCGCGGGCTGGAGCACCTCTGCTATGGGGACAGGCTGAGAGAGTTGGGCTTGTCCAGCCTGGAGAAGAGAAGGCTCCGGGGAGACCTTATAGCCCCTTCCAGTACCTGAAGGGGCTACAAGGAAGCTGGGGGGGACTTTTTACAAGGGCCGGTCGTGACGGGACAAGGGGAAGTGGATTTAAATTGAAAGCGGGGAGATTGAGATTAGGTATCAGGAATAAGTTCTTCCCAGAGAGGGTGGTGAGGCGCTGGAACAGGTTGCCCAGAGAAGCTGTGGATGCCCCATCCCTGGAAGTGTTCAAGCCCAGGCTGGATGAGGCTTTGAGCAACCTGGTCTAGTGGAAGGTGTCCCTGCCCATGGCAGGGGGGTTGGAACTAGATGGTCTTTCAGGTCCCTTCCAACCAAAATCATTCTGTGATTCTATGATTCTAAGAAGAGACAGTAACGACGCAAAACACAACAGGAAGACGCCACGGAAGTGCCTACTCCAGCAGGGCTGGCTCTGGTGCTGTTGTTAAGATTCAACAGGTTCAAGCCTTCTGCAGAGGTGTCATACACCTAAGTTAAGATTCAACAGGTTCAATCCTTCTGCAGAGGTGTCATACACCTAGCACGCACGCACACAAGTCATTTCTTTCAGAATGTTGCTGGAAACGAGTGGCACTGATGTGACGAACTCCTCTAAACGCAGCTTTCAAATGCTCTGTTCCAACGGTCGGCACGCTCGTCACCTACTCTTTTGCAAGCCATTAGCCAAAGGTTAGTTCCACACCATTTTTACTCATTAGTTGGGAAACGACTCCACATAAACAATCATGGGGGATGATTTTACTCTCTAGTACATGCCACTGATCCACTTCCTCTGTAGAAATGTCTGCATCGCTTTTGCCAGATGAAGGATTACTACATTCTCCCATGTTCAGAAAAGGAGTAAAAATCCTTACACATCGATGTATTTAAAAGAGCATACATAGAGCAAATAGAAACTAGATGGCATGGTTAAAATAAAAAATAAAGGTATTTACAATATTGCATAAGTAATATAACACCAACTTCCATTCCAAAATCAACCACATCAAAATAAAAAAATATTACAACTCACATATGTTTGAATACCTATAAATCCTTAATTTCTATCCAATATCTTCTTTATAAAAGCCTGTTTAAAATATTAAACTTTTGAGTCACTCTAGCTGAAACAGAATCTAAAATGCTTTGTTAAGTGTTACTGATCACTTAGTCTTTGTCTTAAGTTTCTAGATTTTCCATTTTCAAATTTCCTCTTTTTAAAGGTTGGTACCCCTTCTGTCAGGTCTCCAAGGGAGGTGACCGTCTTCTCCTTAAATATCACGGTCGCATCTTCTGGCACCTCTAGCACGGGGGGTGGCTGACTGTCACTCTCGGTACTTGGAAGCTCCAGGTCCACTTTGTCACTGGGAGAAGAGAGGGAGGCATAAAAGGGTTAATCCGCATGGAGAAGACAACCCGGCGTACCGCAGACAGTAACATCCACATGTAGTTGTCAAAGCAGCTTTGAGCTAGACGCGGTCTCCTAGCCCAGATCATCACCGTAACAGGGACCAAGAAAACAACAACGTGTTCTTTGTTCCTCCAGTGTGGGCTGCCATGAAGAGTGAAAACCTCCGGCCTTGTTCTGTACAGAGCTTATCGCACGGCCCAAGCACTCCTCACGTAAACAGGCCCGCAGGAGACAACAGGGCTGTGCGTGCCGATGCTTCAGAGCGCCGAAAGGCGGCAGTCAGCGTGTAGTGAGCGATGGTTCCCTGCCAAAACGCAAGCGCCCACCCTCGAGGGTCTGCGTGGCAGAAGAGAGAACGGGCTTACCCCATCGACCAGTGACCCCGAGCTGGGAGAAGCAGCTTTGGCCATCAGGATCCCAGCTAACACTGGTCTGAACAAATCAAAGCCATCATCTACGACTTGGTTTGAAGGGGTCAGCAGCAAAACCCCACGTTCTACAAGAGTAACCCGCGGCACAAACACGTACAGGTTTAAATCGAAAGTGAGGAGGTTTAGATTGGATATCAGGAAGAAGTTCTTCCCAGAGAGGGTGGCGAGGCACTGGAACAGGTTGCCCAGAGAAGCTGTGGATGCCCCATCCCTGGGAGTGTTCAAGGCCAGGCTGGATGAGGCTTTGAGCAACCTGGTCTAGTGGAAGGTGTCCCTGCCCATGGCAGGGGGGTTGGAACTAGATGGTCTTTAAGGTCCCTTCCAACCCCAACCATTCTGTGATTCTATGTATGAGGGAGAACAACTGCCCCATTCACGGGAAATGATCTAGATCCCAAGTCCATCTGGGATCGCAGCAGTGCTGCACTGAGATACACATCGTATTCCTGGCCAATCCGTACATGAAATCTTTCAGTGCTACACTGCTGTCCACTCACGTACCCGCTGCCAGGTCCTGCGCTTCAAGGAAGAGATGGATCGGCTCAAGCACCCAAACAAGAACCCTGAGAACGACTGAAAGAAAATCCAACTGCTCCAGTATCCCAAAAATCCCTCCTGAAAGTGGCTGGCGCAGTGCCTGGTCTCAGTCTGAAGTCACTCACGGACACCTGCATTTGTGCGTACAGCTCAAGCCTGCGCGTTCACGTACAGGCTGACGTGTGATGTTCAGTAGCTGAGAGCACTTTTTTTTGGACAGTGTTTTCCCAAAACCTGAAGGAATTTATCAGCTCTGGAATCAAGGAGCGGTTAGCTGGTCCGGTACGGGAGGTGCTACTGAGCGTTACCACCCCCAAGGAAGCGCGTCCGTGCTTCATTTAGCTCGCACGGCATCCAAACTCTTGTCTACTGAATAATTTAGACCTAAAATGCTGGAGAACAGGGTGAGTGTGAGGGAAAAGGCTGTTTTATTCTCCGAAACCTAGTTTCTCCAGACTCCTAGAGGGCCCCACAACATGAGAGTGGCCGTAAAAGACAGCATGCTTCACACACACCAAAGAGCCCTCTCAGGCATGACGCAGTAAAACAAACCCGACCAACCTCCTGCTCAGGTACACCTCAGGGAAACATCTGCAGTACCTCGGATGGATGTGGGAGAGAGAAAGAGCTTCCAGATTGATCACTGGCATAACTAGATGACACAGGTTTTGTCTTTCATCTCTGCAGTTAAATCATTACAGAAAGCGTCTGCCACCACACTGTAACAACCTCCAGGACTTACCTACCGTGAGAGTGGAAAAGGCTGTAGTGGATTTTGTTCTGGTTCTGCTTAACTTTGTTTTGAAACGAGGGAAATGAGGGAACAAGAAAACACAGTTGCACCAGAATTCTGTTGCTGCCATACTGGGTGTAAGTGAGAGAAAAGAAGTGTCCTTCAGGCGAACAGTCGGGGTTCGGACGACCCACAAAGCGAGAAGCAACTGACCAAGTGAAAGAAAAGTGTCCTTCAGGCAAACAGTCGGGGTTCGGATGACCCACAAAGCGAGAAGCAACTGACCGCTCGTGCGGCTAACTCCGCGCAACACGCCGCTGCGTCGAGCCTGGAAAAGCATCCTCCTTGTGTCAGCAACCGCTGATCCCACAGGGAAGGAATTCTGCAATGCTAAGGTAGATCTTGAACTCCAGGCAGAGTTAGCCCAACTGATCACTCATCAGGAAGAAAGGGAATTTAGCTGGGAAGCTGCAGGCCCTAGGAAAGCTGCCTATGCTGTTCCACGGCTGGAAGCAGTTGAAAAAACAGCCACAACAGGTCCTGAGGCAGCCGAACCAGATTGTTAAAGGAGACGATGTTAAGGAACATAAGCTTAGAGTAACTACGTTTAAACAGTTGATACGCAGCCTCTAGAAAAATGATGGGCAACAACGATCCTTTACATCAATTTAGTTTACTCTGTACTCATGGCAAACTTCTACACTACAACCAAACCACCATTATCCGCCATCACTCGATCCCTGCGGGAAGAACTGTACGTGGGCCGCGTTTCCAATCAATGCTGTGCTAACTTTGCCAGAATTCAGAATAAAAACCTTCAGTTCTTGAAAATAAGTAGTCTGGAAACAAATACTATGAGAATAACTATGGTAAAAAGATCCTCACCTTGGTTGTTCTTCTACTTCTTCTTCTTTTTCTACTTCTTTAAGCGCTTTCCATTTTCCATGAGGCTTGGTCTTAGGTTCATCACCAGAGGTTTCCGGGGAAGCTGATGTACTCTCCTTTTTGTCACCGGTTTCTGCTGGCTTAACTTCTCGCCACTTCCCGTAAGGACTTAACTTCTTAGCTCTGGGAGATTTCTTGTCCTCCTCTGATTCTTCACCATTACCTCCTTTCCTCTAAAGAGGAAAAAACCCAGCTTAAGCAAAAATGCCTAAATAAAAACACAATGTAGCTTTATTTTACATCTTTTATTTACTGTTCATGCTTTTCAACCAAGAGTAACTTGAAACAATACACTCGTATTGTGGTAGAATCTTTAAATTTTTCTCCTTGAGCTTTTGTCACATACAGAGTTGAAAAAACAATCTTACATCACAGAACAGAATCATGGAACGGTTTGGGTTGGAAGGGACCTTAAAGACCATTGAGCTTTCGTCACATACAGAGTTGAACAATCTTACATCACAGAACAGAATCATGGAACGGTTTGGGTTGGAAGGGACCTTAAAGACCATCCAGTTCCACCCCCCCTGCCATGGGCAGGGACACCTTCCACCAGACCAGGTTGCTCAAAGCCTCATCCAGCCTGGCCTTGAACACTTCCAGGGATGGGACATCCACAGCTTCTCTGGGCAACCTGTGCCAGTGCCTCACCACCCTCTCCGGGAAGAATTTCTTCCTGATATCTAATCTAAACCTCCCCTCTTTCAATTTAACCCCGTTACCCCTTGTCCTGTCACTACAGACCCTTGTAAAAAGTCCCCCCCAGCTTCCTTGTAGCCCCTTCAGGTACAATGTTACAACAAGTTAAAGCTGGAAAATCCCATCTTTCAAGGCAGAAGTTAGCAAGGAGTATGCAAAAAAAAACTTAACTTAAAACCAAAGCTTAGTGTGTCTTTAAAAAAACCAAAGAGGCAGAAATTCCCGTACAGCTTTCTACGCATGCAGCTGTTACAGCCAATACCTGGGATAGTTTATAATGATGCACAGTGATAGAAAAATATGTATTTTGGAATTAACACCTGCCTATGAATACGTTTTACATTTAAACTGTCTGGGCCTGTTCTGAACTACCAGATTCAGAAAACCCACCTGACCCAACCAGAGACGTAATCACACCCTTTGCCGTTAAGTTTTAAATCTAAAGACAAAAACATACGATTCAATCAGATTTTGTACTATGTGCTGCCAGTGTTTTTCTCAATGACTAAGGAAATTACAACCACGTGCTTTTCAGTCAAAAGCATCCCCTGAAGGTCTCTTGGCGGCCACATTTACCAACGAAGGTTTGAAGTCACCCTCACACTGAAATCTGAACTGTTTTGTGGATTATTTCAGGGAGATGACAGTGACCTTTTCCAGAGAACATCACATTTCTGGCAGAATTCGAGCTACTTCTGGTGGGCTGAAGGAAAGATTATGCTTTCCGTTTGGGAACAGTGCCACTAACGGGCCAAACAATTGAAGAGCTTCATTTTACTATTCAAACAAGTGCAAACTTCTACCCTAAGTCATACAGTTTGACCTCATTACAATGAGTACAGCCTGTCACAGGAGATGAAGGATAAATCATGTTAGGCTAGAACACTAATATTGTATGTAAAACAAATCTGAACACATACCTTGAAATTTGTTTCTGAACTCTCTGCTTCACTGTCACTATCGTCTGAGTCTGATTCACAACGCCCGCCCCGTTGACTCTTCCCAGTTGAAGACGAAACAAAACCAGCCGGTTTCTCCCACGTGGATACTGTCCAAGATATTTGAACAACCATATTATTTATGGTCCTAATCCTGATCTGTTACTGCTCTGACAACATTACCTTTCAGAAGTAGTGCTGCCTTATGCAAAATTCTGCACATGATTTAGCACAAGCCTTCGGCCTTCGCTCGGCATGTTTGTTTTAAGAAACATAATCAGAAAGGTAACATTTCACTTCCCAGCAGACATACAGTCGTGACAGCTGCCGTGGTTTAACTCCGGCTAGC